AATCTATGACTGGGCGCCCCCAGCTCCTCGCCGCAGAGCGGGCACAGAAGGTCCACGACGCGACGATCATCGAACCGGGTGAGCTGAGTGGGGTACCCTCCCGAGACGACCCCAGCGAGCCCCGTAGCAGCTGTGAACCTTTCCTGGCACCTGAGCTTCTGGAGGACCTCGATGATGAGCTCCAGCATGGGCCCTCCCGTCAATCCAGGAACCCGCTCCCCATCTCCAAAGCCTCGAAGCAACATATCCCGAACCGCTTGGTGTAAGACGGTTTTGAGGGACCTGTAGCCCAAGAAACTCACATCATCAACTTCGACTCCCCGAGCAGTAACAAGCTTACACCAGCTTTTCACCTGCCAGCCTAAACTCTCCACTGTAAGAACGACTGCCCCCGCTGGTCCACGGACACCTTGCCACCCGCGAGCAGGTCGGCTGCAGAACGAATTGAAACGCCCCTGCATGATGCGCTGCTCCGCCCACGCCAAGCGCGCGGCTAGTCCCCACGCAAGGACGGGCAACGCGTGCACGTCGCACGATGGGTCCGCCTTGGGCTCCACCGATAAGAAACTCCAGTGTCCTGCACCTTCCCTTGGGCGTTCCAAAAAGGGCGCTTCCGTGGCGCGCTCGGAGTTCGCCCAGGGCAGAGCTGGACATTCCATTGACGCGGCAACCATACGTGGCCGAGGGGGGGCCTCCCGCTCGAGCAACTCTGAACATTCCCTTCTTGGCGCTGAGCCCACGGGTCCTTTTACCCCGAAGACGAACCTTGTGGAGGCGCTTTGGGAGGACCATTGGACCCTTGGCTCCTTTCTGCATAGTCTGGTCGCAGCCCGAGCTGACGCCAGTACAATTCCACTTCTTAAGCCTAGACGCGATAGTCACCCTCGCCGCCGAGTGGCTGTACATAACGAGACCTTTCGCCTGAGAGATGACCAGCAGCAGCTTCTCGAGCTGCAGGCAGAGAAAATAAACGGCGCGAGCGAGAATGCTCTCAGCATGCTGCCTGCGGCCAGACACTTGGGCCGTAATGTCATCCACCACATTGTGCAGTCTAGCACTCCCGTAGAGCTCCCTGGTGAGGTCCAATGGGTCCATGAGCACCACGCGTAATAAGGTTGTCGCGAACCCACAACCTGCGAGGATCCCCATGGAGGGCCAGCACGGGGGCCCCCACGACACCACACACATTGATGATCCTACGCCCACGATAAAGCGACAGCAGCAGGCGGAGCTTCACTATGTTAAACTTGTGCTTGACGGCCGCGACGGCCAACAGATAGTGGCAAACCTTCTCGTATGCCTTCGTCAAGTCCACGAGACAGGCGCCTGAGCAGCCTCCTGCACTGACGTGCTGCTCAACCGTCAAGCTCTGCTCCAACCGTCAAGCTCTGCTCCCATGCCGCGCGTCCACAGCTCTTGCCGTGGACACCGTGCAAGTAGTCGCGGTTACTATCGCGCTCCCAGCACCTTATCTCGCCCCTCGACAGCTTCGAAAACACCCGAGTGGGAGTTGGCAGCAGAGCTATCGGGCGGAAACCTCCTTCAGGCTTGGACAGCATGGCAAGGATGGTGGTGAGGAGGATGGTGGGGTAGGTGCCTAGGTACCCCATCTTGACCCAGAGCGCTCCGAGAACCTCCAGAAGGCCATCCGAGGCCATGCCCAGATCCCGCGGCCGAAGGGCGTCCACCCCACAAGCCGTGCGTTTCGGAAACTTCCTGATAGCCCCGCGGATGTCCACGACCGGCCTCTCTTCAGAACACAGCTCCTGGACCGAGACACCTCGCTCAGCGGCCTGGGCCTGGAACTGGCACGTCAGGTACTGGATGGGGTCAGGGAACTTGGAGGCATCAGGGTGAGGCTTCCAAATGTCACTCCAGAACTTGGTCAGCCCATCCACGGACTCTTGAGGCCCCAGCGGAACCGAAAAGCCCCCAGCCTTGATGGTGCTCGACTCGGGCGGCACCCAACCTATCGGGCACTGCGAATACTTGTGCGCCTTGCCAGCGCCTGCAGATGCAGCCTCCTGTGCCCGCTCTCGCCAGCGCTTGCCGCGCTCGGTAGTAAACTTGCGATCCTGCACTCGTGCGACGCGTGAAACATACTACCAAAGGAAGGCACCCACTGCTGCCACGAAGTGTCTTTGTGCAACTGCTTGGGTCCCCGCTCGACCGACTTCAGTAGCCCCATAGACTCTCCTTCCCCCCAGCGAAGGCCCTTCTTTCTAATCTGGATCAGCTCCGAGAATAACTTGGAAATACGACGCCAGCCCCTGCTTTCAGGACTCCCGACGGGATACCGACCACCCGAAGTTCTGAGTGCTGAAACCTTAATGGTGGCAGGCTCCTCAGCTCTGCCGAAGTACTTGGCTTGATCTAGCACGCCGTGATAGGTCCCATGCTCCCGCCCCAATCCTTCGACGAAGGACCTGTAGCAGACATCTAACGAATCTCGATCCCCAACCGATCTAGCATATTCAAGAAGCGCCTGATAATTGGGCGGCTCCGGCATGGGTCCTATCACAACTTCCTGCGGGAACATCCTCGGCAGGCGCAGCGTCTGGGCCAAGACGCTGAGCGGCTCGCCGCGGAACTTGACCACCACAGGCCAGTGCGGCTTGACTGATGCCTTCCTACTGATGGTGCAAGAATGGACACTGCCTGCAAGATCTGCAGACAGCACAAAATAGTCTATCGTTTTCCAGGTCCTCGCATTGGACCTGCACGTGTAGGTTGGCGGCTTGTCAATCTGTCCCCCAAGACGTCCTGCCCAGCCCATGCTCTGAAGTACCTCAGGCGAGACGTTCCAATCTCCTCCCAAGACAAATGGCAAACCCCAAGAGTGAATCTGCTCGCCTATCCTGCTGAGTGTTTGGCTTCCGATTGGACCCAGCGGGTCCTGGTCGGGGAGGTAGATGGATCCGAGGAAGAAACCTCCTGGTACATACGCGTTGATCCACATCAACTGCTGGCGGCGCGGGTACGGCAGGCGTTTCGTGCCCGCCGGCGGCAAGCCGAGGCCAATGAACTCTCTGCACACAACCGCAACCCCTCCTGACAGGCCTCCTGCGCTGGTGACCTCGGACGGGTGGATCTTCGCCTGCCAGCCCAGCTTCTCGAGCTGGGATTCACATTCGACACGATCTTGAGGTCCACAGTTAGTTCCTGAAGCATGACGATGTGACTCGACGCTTCCCCCTGGAGAAACTGCTTAGCTGACGACCATGCCGTGGTATTACAGGTTTCAAGAGGAAAAACTCTCCCTGACTCGACCCTGAAGATCTGTGCTTGAGCTTCTGCCCTGGCTGGGCAGCTCGATTTTTCCGAATTCGCTGTGGCCCTGTAAGAGGCCAGGCGCTAGGGGGAGCGGGAAAAGCAGAGGAAGGCAGGCCGGGGGGGTTGGAGCACGGCGGGGGCGGGGGCCAAACCGGCGACCGAAAGAAAACCCCAGGAGGGCGCGAGGGCACCACCGCCGCTTCACCCCACCAGCTGGTGGGGCAAGGCTGGCTGCTACCCGCCAGACGTCTTGCCCTGCCCCTTGCCTGCCTCCCCTGCCGCGCCTGGGGTGCCTCCAGCACCCACTCCAGCGCCTCTTCCTCCTCCCTTGCTGCCCAGAGTCTCAGCGGCCTTGGCGCGAACGTCAACCTTGGGCGAGGCAGCGGTGGCTCCACCACCGCCGCTGGCCGCACTGGCTGCGCTTGGGCGGGCCTGGAGCAGCAGCACCTGGAGGAGCACCTGCAGGAGGTTCTGCCGCCGTGGTACGCGCGGCGTCGCCATCGCCCTCGCCTTTGCGCTTCTTGAACAGCCTGTTGACGTGCTCGGAATGTTCCTTGCGCAACTTCTCCGCCGTCTCCTTGGCGCTTCCGAAGAGCTGCTTCGCCATGTCCTGCACGCCCTGTCGCAGCTTATCCTTCCTGGCAGCTGCCTCGTTCCTATCGGTGTCCGTGAACTCGTATATGTCGGCCAGCCCGAAGAAGTCGTCGCAGCCCTCGGGGTCGATGCACGGCACGTCCCCCGCAAGGAGCTGCTCCAGGGATATATTCGGCTTCTCCGTGGGCTGGTTGTTGTGCGCTTGGCAGTACATGGCGCTGAGCAAGCCTTTGTACTTTTCGTCGGCGTCCGCAAGCTTGGTCTGCAACAGCTGGACCTCCGCCTCCTGGTCCAGGGCCGCTTGGCGGAGGCGCCCCAGCTTGTCGATCGCCCCGTCCAGCTTCTTCTCCAGGCCTTGGACCTGCTCATGCGCACGATGGGCCCGCACCTGGAGCGGCGGCTCCTTGGGCTGGCCCGCCTCCGCCTGCTTGAACCCCAACAACTTCTCGCACTTCGTAACCAGCACCATGCCACCTGTCTTCTTGCCCAGGGCGATGAGCTGCTCAATCTCGGAGATTGTGAGCAGCTTGTCGCCGCTCCCCAGGCCAGGCGGCGGCTGCAGTCCGACCGAGCGGGGCGTGCCATCCCCCGCGTCCTCCACTTCGAGCCCGTTCCCCTCAGCCTCCGCGGGGGAGTTCCAGGCCTCTTGGCAGTGAGAGCAGTACCACGTGCTCCAGCCGTTTTTCTTGCAGCCGCAGTGCACACACTTCCACTGACGACTGGGCCGCTTGGAGCCGCCACGCTTGCTGGTGCCACGCTGGTCAGCCCACGATGCACTCTTCTGGTGTCCGCTCGAGTCGACATCCCTCCACGCCATGAAGAGACTTGCGCCCGAGACTCAGAGCAAACCAAACGTGGCACGCGAAAAAAGCGGACCCTCACCCTGGGCAGGGCCACTGATCGAGGGTCGTGCGGGTCTCTGACCAGCTCGAGCCCCAACCCCAGGGAAGGCGAAGGCCCCAGGCAACGGCTTGAGACAATGGCTTGAGCCAAAATGGCTACGGATCTCCCTCCTCCTCCTCCTCCTCCTCCTCCTCCTCCTCCTCGTCCTCGTCCTCGTCCTCGTCCTCCTCCTCCTCCTCCTCCTCCTCCTCTTGACGCTGCGCGGACTTAATACAATAACATGAAGAGTCATTCATCTCCTCCTCCTCCTCCTCGCGGCGGCCGGCAGGGGTGCGCCGGCCGAGGGCCTCAGGGCCGCGGAGCCTCGAGAGGCCACGGCCCCGGCGGAGCCGGCGGCCGCGGCGGCACGGCCGAGCGCAGGGCCCCGAAGAAGTCGCGGAGCCCGTAGCGGCAGGCGAAGGCCAAGCCCCTGCAGACTCGACAGGGCGTTCGTAAACAAGGCGGTGCACTCGGCCAGGATAGTAGGGATGCGCGGTGAGGGTGCAAGGGCCTTGGAACGCCATGTTGACGTTTTCCGTGCGGAGCGCAGCAGAATGCCGAAGGATGCCGAATACCGAAGGGGCAAGGATGCAAGGGTAGCCTTGGAAAGTTGCCCCATCCTTACTATCGTGGTTGACTGTACAGGGGGATTTGGGGCGAAAAATTCAAAATGCCCATGATAAGACTCAAAAAATAATGAAAAATACTGAAAGAATCGTCCCCAGACTATTCTTTGGGACTGTTTCTGAATATTCCTCCTGTAGAGGGACAGGCCCGACTTAACGGTAGCTAGAGGCCTCGGCGATGCGGAGCGATCCTTCGACCCCATCTACTCCGACCCCATCTAGGAGGCCTAGAATAGCTAAGGGGCCTCTTCAAGCGAGAACCGGGCGACAGGGCATTTACCTCGCACTGTAGTGCGTGTGCAAGCGGGGCGACGAAAACGTCGACACATCATCAAACTCTGGGCGGGGGGGATACCTCGCACTTGTGCGCCGCATATCAACTGTTTGAAAACACAACTGAAAACGGCGCACCCTCAGCTACCGTTAGGTCGGGCGTATCCCCCTACAGGTGGATTTTGGACGAAAAACAAAAAGCACCCCGAAATACACCAAAAATATTCAAAAATGGTCCAACAATCGTCCCCGTACTGTTTTTTTGCTGTTTTTCCCGACCTAGGCTCTGCCTAGAAGGGTTCTTACCCTCTAAGCTTAAAGGGGCCGTGCAGTGGAAAACGCCCCGGGCGGTTCCCCCGGCATCCGCCCCGCGGTTCCCCCAGTTGCGTCCCCTTAGCTTAGCGTTGCTTAACTTATCTTAGCTTAACTTATTTCATATTAGCTTAGCTTAGCTTCATCTTCGCTCAGGATTATCTTAGCTTAGCTTACCTTAATATTAGATTCGCCGAGCTTTAGCATAGCAGAGCACAGCATAGCATAGCAGAGCGTAGCATAGCATAGCGCAGCACAGCATATCATAGCAAAGCCCAGCATAGCATAGCATAGCGCAGCACAGCACCACACAGCAAAGCACCGCGCAGCACAGCATAGCTTAGCTTAGCATAGCGCAGCGCTGCATTAGCATAGCATAGCCAAGCATAGCATAGCATAGCATAGCATAGCATAGCGCAGCATAGCATAGCATAGCATAGCATAGCATATCATAGCGCAGCTTAGCTTAGCATAGCATAGCATATCATAGCTTAGCATAGCACAGCGCAGCATGACATAGCATAGCTCCGCATAGCATGGCATAGCATAGCATAGCATAGCGCAGCATAGCATAGCATAGCATAGCTTAGCTTAGCATAGCGCAGCATAACATGGCATGGCATAGCAACTAATGCTGCTAATTGAATATTCCCCCTGGAGAGGGACAGGCCCGACTTAAAGCTGCCGGCCCGTTTACGACCGCCCCGTCTGCAGGGGCTTGTGAAGAAGCGGTCGGCGTCCCGGCCGCTGGCGCGGTACACCTCGAGGGTGCTCAGCAGGTCGGCGAGCTCCCGGTCGCCGGGGTCGCCGAACCAGCTGCGGAGGAGCGAAGAGCAGGCAGCGGCGTGAGCACAGCCTCTCGGAGTGCCGCGCCGATGTCTCGACGGCGCGCGCTGCGCTCCGCCAGCTCCGACCGAAGAAATCGGCGCGAGCTCCGAAAGCTTATGCTCACGCCGCCTCGTGCTCCTCGGGGATGAGGATGCCGTTGTCGGGGTTGAGCGCCACCGATATGGGGGAGTTGTCCACCAGGACGCACCTGGCCAAAGGCCGCCCCAGGTGCCCCAGGTCCTTGAAGAACGCGCCCCGGTACTCCGTGCAGTGCCCGCGATAGAGCCGGTGCGCGACGAGGAGGCCCGAGGGATCGAGCGCGTCGATCACCTTTGCGCCGTCAGGGTATGTCCATATCGACTGCCGCGGGGTCGGGTCTTGTGGACTCGGGGAGCGGTTGATACAGTCGGAGCTCGACCACAAGAGACCTTCCACAAGAAACCCAACCCTGAGATCCCAGGGCGTCCCTTGGTTTTGGTGTGGGCATGCCACGCTCTCCGTCGCAGAACCATCGAAACCCAAGAAACCCAGGGCACCCTGGAGGCAAAAAGGGTGTTTCTTGGCATGGGTCCCCACTGTATGGATACGTACATCTGCACTGCCGGCACAAGCGGGCGGGCAGATATCCACTTCCACCACTCCTCGAGATCCCAGGGACACTCCGAGGCGGTGGATCTGGGCAGATTCTGGAGGTGGAGCCTTGTCCGCATAAGACTGCTGCGACGCGGTGAAGACGACCACCTCGAAGCGCCGGGCGGCCGCCTCCGGCGGAAGAAGAAACGTCAGAAGCAGAAGCAGAAGGAGCGTCTGCGCAGATGCCTCGGATCTGCGCTGGAGCTCCCTGGGGTTAGGTCGGGCATGTTCTTCCCCTGCAGGACGATTTTGGACGAAACGTCAATCTATCCTGGCGAAGGGCCCAACCACATGCAGTTGCGGGTGCCGCAATTGTGAATAGCTTCCTCGGTGGAGCTCCCTATGGGGCCACGAAGCGCTGTACTGGGTGGGGGTGGAACGCATGCGGGCGGTAGCACTGGGTCCGTCGGTGGAGCTTCCCATGGGGCCACGAAACGCTGTGCTGGGTGGGGGGGACGCACGCGGGCGGTAGCACTGGGGCCTGCGGTGGAGCTCCACATGGGGCCACGAAACGCTGTACTGGGTGGGGGTGGAACGCATGCGGGCGGTGGCACTGGGATCTTCGGTGGAGCTCCCCATGGGGCCACGAAACGGTGTACTGTGTGTGGGGGGGGGACGCATGCGGGCGGTAGCACTGGGACCTTCGGTGGAGCTCCGCATGGGGCCACGAAACAAACGGTGTACTGGGTGGGGGGGGACGCATGCGGGCGGTAGCACTGGGGCCTGCGGTGGGGCTCCGCATGGGGCCACGAAACGGTGTACTGGGTGGGGGGGACGCATGCGGGCGGTAGCACTGGGACCTTCGGTGGAGCTCCGCATTGGGGCCACGAAACGTGTGAGGGGTGTGCCGAATGAGTTTTCAGGACGCATGCGGACGGTTCCACTGGGGGCTTCGGTGGAGCTCCCTATGGGGCCACGAAGCGCGGTACTGGGTGGGTGAAACGCGGGGAGGAGGGAGGAGGAAGGAGGGGGAGGAGGGAGGAGGGAGGATGAAGGAACGCGGGGACCGTCTCTTCAAAACGAGGACCCAACACCACAGGATGGTTGGCAAACAGATTCTAAAAATTCACCAAAAATAATCAAATATCCTGGCGAAGGACCCAACCATGTGTAGTGGTGGGTATCGCAATTGCGGATATTTTCTTCGGTGTAGCCCCCTATGGGGCCACGAACCGCGGCACTGAGTGGGGGGGAACGCATGCGGGCGGTAGCACTGGGGCCGTCGGTGGAGCTCCCCATGGGGCCACGAAACATTGCACTGGGTGGGGGGGACGCATGCGGGCGGTAGCACTGGGGCCGGCCACGAAACGCTGCACTAGGTGAGGGAGACGCATGCGGGCGGTAGACCTGGGACCTTCGGTGGAGCTCCCTGTGGGGCCACGAAGCGCTGTACTGGGTGGGGGAGACGCATGCGGGCGGTGGCACTGGGGCTTCGGTGGAGCTCCCTATGGGGACACGAAGCGGGTGAGGGGTATGCCAAAATGGGCGGGGGGAAGGGCGCAGGGACGCATGGGGGCGGTAGCACTGGGGCCTTCGGTGGAGCTCCCTATAGGGCCACGAAACGTGTGAGGGGTGTGCCAAATTGGGCTTTCGGGGCGCATGCGGGCGGTGGCACTAGGGCGTTCGGTGGAGCTTCCTATGGGGCCACGAAGCGAATGAGGGGTGTGCCAAATTGGGTTTCCGGGACGCATGCGGGCGGTCCCACTGGGGGCTTCGGTGAAGCTCCCTATACGAAACGAGTGAGGGGTGTGCCAAATTGGGTTTCCAGGACGCATGCGGGCGGTCCCACTGGGGGCTTCGGTGGAGCTCCCAATGGAGCCACGAAGCGGTGTACTGGGTGGGCGAAACGCAAGGAGGAGGAAGGAGGGGGAGGAGGGAGGAGAGAGGAAGAAGGAACGCGGGGACCGTCTCTTCAGAACGAAGACCCAACACCACAGGACGGTTGGGAACAATCATAAAGAAGTAATCCCCAGACGATTTTTGGACTATTTTTCAATATTCCTCCTGTGGAGGGTCAGGCCCGACTTACGCGCAGATGCCTCGGATCTGTGCTGGAGCTCCCTGGGGGCGCCTCTCCGGCGCCGCCCTTGAGACGCGCCCCGCGCGCTAAGGAAGGGGGCCCAGAACGCCGACCCCAGAAATCCGCCCGGACCTCTCCGGGCATCCGTGCTGGTGCAGCTCGTCTTTCCTCTTTGTCATCGTCCGTCTCGGACATTGCCAATTCGTGGGCCATCCTCGCGAATCGGCGACGGCCGGCATGGACGAGCGCTTTTTCTCATTCGCGGCCACAACGGGCGTCAGGGGGGGAGAGGGGGGGGAAGGGGCGTAACGTAGCGCTCCCCCCACCAAACTGTGGTGCTGGACGCACTGCGGCAGTGCCCGGAAGGAGGCACTGAGGGGGGGAGCGTCACGTTTCAGGGATGGGGGGGGGGGCATCACGCGCGTTGTGGCCCAGAGGGTCACAAAAAAACACTCTCGACCATTGCCAAGATCGGCGTCGACGAGATCCCGCGCAATCTTGGCCATCGGCACCGTGCTTCCTGGGCTACGCGCAAGAGGTTGACCTGTGGCGCGCGGACTACAGGGGCGCAGAAGGGCCAAATAATCCGAGCGCGCAAACAGCCGCGCTAACGCATCGCGCTCTGCGATCGGGGGGACCCCGATGAGCCCGCACCAAATGTCACTCCGGCGAAGGTGATGGGCCTGTTTTCCACCACCACCACCACCATGAGTTGGAGGGGGGAAGGAGGTGGTGGACGAGGAGGAGGAGGAGGAGGAGGAGGAGGAGGAGGAGGAGGAGGAAGGAGGAGGGGGAGGGCCCGTTTCCACTCCAACATATGGTGGTGTTGGTGGTGGTGTTGGTGGTGGTGGTGGAAAACAGGCCCATCAGAAGGGTCCCTTCGACGTGCAGTCGGCTTCCGCCCCTCGGTGCCTCGAGGAACCGCCGCACGCCCGGCCGGAAGGCCACGGCCCCAACGGCGCGCCCGGGGACGTCGTCGAACTCCACGAGGAGGTCCGTGGGGGGCGCCGGCAGGGCGTGCTGCTCGCCGCCCTCGGAGCCAGGAGGGGCCTCCGGGGGCGGCCAACGAGGGGGGGGGGGGGCGTCCAAGATAGGACGACAAAATCTGCACAAGTCCCCAGAGAGCCGACGCTCCAAACAACATGGGGGCGGCGGGATCCTGGCGGTTTTCGGCCTCTTGGGGCCCTCGCCGGGCCTCGGGAGCGTCAAGAAACGATGCAGGACGAAAAACGGGTCCTGGGGAAGTGGTCTGGACCTCCGGGGCCCGCGCATCCGGAAAATTTGGAACAACCGGATGATGTCTGGGTCCACTGCTCCCTGGCCAGGCCCATCCTGGGCCCACAAGCGGTGTGTACACCACGCCCTCCTGGCTCGGCCAAGAAGGCGTATCATACACAGCTCCTGGGTGCAGGATGGCCCTGGCCCGGGAGCAGTGGGTATGTACAACTTTCGCAGATCATGGCCCGAAACACGGGGGGCGCGGACGGCGGCGGTGAAGGTGGCGGTGCCCGCAGGAGAGCGTCCACGCGAGGGGACGTCAAGCCGGGCGAGGCTGGAAAACCCCGTGAGGCAACTGATCCTCCTCCTCCTCCTCCTCCTCCCCTTCTTCTTCTGCCTACTATTATTATTATTATTATCATCACTATCCTTCTCCACCTCCTCCTCCTTCTTATAACTATGTGTATACGTTGTATCATCATGTTGCTCCTCCTCCTCCTTATTATTATTATTCGTCTTCATATGATTATCAGTGTTGTTATTATTCTTATGTTTATTTCTAAATAATATTATTACCGGCATCATCACTCTTATTATTATCCGTATTCGTATTACTACTATGATTAGCATTAATATGACTAACCGTATTATTATTATTGATGTCGATCGTATTATGATTATGTGTAGTATTAATATGTGTATGATGCTTGTAAGTAGTAGTAGTAGTAGTAGTAGTAGTAGTAGTAGTAGTAGTAGTAGTAGTAGTAGCAGTAGTAATATTAGTAGTAGTAGTAGTAGTAGTAGTAGTAGTAGTAGTAGTAGTAGTAGTAGTAGTAGTAGTAGTAGTAGTAGTAGTAGTAGTAATAATAATCATAATACTCGTCATATGTTTAGTATTGCTATATGAATAATATTATCATTGCTAGTATTAGTTCATGTGTATCAGTATTTGAAATATGATTACTACTATTATTATTGATATTATGATTATCCTTCTCCTCCTCCTCGTCCTCCTCCTCCTCCCTTCTCCTCCTCCTCCTCCTTCCTCCTCCTCCTTCCTCCTTCCTCTTTCCTCCTTCCTCCTCCTCCTCCTCCTCATCATCATGAGCATGAGTATGATTCCAGGAAGGGCGTCTGGCGGGGGTGTCGGAGACAGCTGATTGTTTTCCAAGCAAGAGGGTGTTGGACACTGCCAGCTCAGTCTTGGAATTCAAAATGCGTGTCGCGAAACGTCGTGCACACGCAGGTCAGGCCACAATATTCGAACCGACTTGCACTCCCCATAGGTTAAAGGGTGGGGCAGAGGGAGCCAGAAAGGACTACAGAGCAGAAGCACACCCTCACGACGCTCAACCCTCTGAGGAATCAACCACCACCAAGCAGTTATTTGATTCCAGGAGGGGCGTCTGGCGGGGGTGTTGGAGACAGCCGATTGTTTACCAAGCAAGAGGGTGTTGGACACTGCCAGCTCAGTCTTGAAATTCAGAATGCGTGTCGCGAAACGCCGTGCACACGCGGGTCAGGCCACGAGATTCGAACTGAATTGCACTCCCATAGCAAGACCCACAACAGGGACGTGCACGGGCGGTGGCGGGGACAGGGCGGCAGGCAGAACGAAAAAAAGCGAGAGTGGCACATCAAAGCCGCCTCGGGCGGACAGAACCACAGAAAAGGCCTTTCAAGTTACAGTGAGCCCATTCACAATACTGGCGGCTAGCTGGCTTCAACCGATTGAGAGCTTGCTGAATCTTGCCTGGCTTAGCATAGCGACGAACCGTATCAAGACACTTTACTCTGACACGCGGCTGAATCTCACTCAAGGTGCGGCGCCGCTTCAGGAGATCGTCCGAGGCGCCGCCGTGGCGCAGCTGGCGCAGGGGCGCCTCGACGCCCAACCTGTCGGCAGCGGCCTTGAAGAGGCGGGCGACCCTCGCGGCCTCCAGCGGAAAGAGCTCGCGGTCGTCCGCCGCGGTCGCAGCCCAGGAACCCAGCACCTCGCCCAGCCACTCGGGGTGGTCGAAGATGACGGTGCCGTCAAAGGTCTGGGTTTTTGACGGCTGCAGCCGCTCCCCAGGCGCCACAATCAGAGACCAACACCGCAACGCAGCTTCCTCCGACACCCTGGCTTCACCAGGTCGCCCACCTGAGCACGAAGAAACTCCCCGGGACGGAAGGACACCGAAAACATGGCCTCGACGTAGAGGGCCGTGGACCGCTCACCGTCGTAGATCAGGAGGGCGCAGATGCCCGACTTCACCTCGATCGGCAACGGCATCCTGCTGGTAGGCGGGAGTCGCTTTCGGTATCCTTTGGGAGCCCGTTGGAGCCGAGGATAATCCCGTACCTTTCCAAGGGGCGCGCTGCACAGCGGGCCGTGCACCGTCTTCTCGGCGCGCGTGAGCTTCACGTTGTCGGCTTGGGGCTCGTCCAGGTAGTCGAGCAGGTTCACCTCGATCTCGTCGTGGTCGTCGGCGGCCCTGCCTCGGCGCCGCCGCCGCTCGCGGAACAGGTTCTCGAAGTGCTGGTAGGCGGCCGAGCCCTTGGCGCCGACCGTCGCGAGCTCGCAGGCGCTGAGACCCCCGCCCTGCGCCCGCCGCCCAAGACTCGGGGGCAGCGGCCGCGCGGCAGGAGAGGGGGCCGCGGCGGGCCTCCGCCCGGCGGCGCCCTGCCGACGGACGGGGCCGCCGGCGGGGCGGCCCGAGCGCCTTCCCTCCTGTCGGGCCCCAGCGGCTCCGCAGGAAGTCGGTGGCTCGGCGGCTGCTTGACAGGCCGCCAAGTTCTGCTCCCGCCGCAGGCGCTTCATACAGCGCCGCCCGCGCCTCCCCGAGCTCCTCGAAGAGGCGGGACGGCTCGTCGGCGGGGTTGCATTCGCTCGGAACCCAGCGGAGCGCCACCCATGCGCCCGTCGCAATCGAGAGGGCAGCCAGGCGGCGGACCAGCGGCAGGAACCCGAAGGAGGCCGCGCGCCCCCTTGAGAAACAAAAGGCTACGCCGACGTTGTCGACAAGGACGAGGCGCCTCTTGTGGTGCTGGCAGGGGCCCCGAAGTTTGCGACTCATACCTTTGATGACGGCCCTACCTTCCTTGTTGCCGATCGGCTCCTCGAACCTGTACCTCCCAGCCCTCCAGCACTCCCAGGAACGCCCCAGGATCGCGGCCTTCGGAACCTCGGGGAAGCCCGTTCGAGGCCGCCAGGCGAACTCCGAGGGAACCCCGCCGAGCACGTCGGGGCCCCAAAAGGGCCCGCGTCGGACGTCGCAGGGTCGACGGGGGGGGGTCGAGCTCGGCCGCCATTGCACGATGGCGAGGCGCCCGCTCCGACGGGGGCAGACGCTCGTGCCCCCAGCGCTCGCTCCACCTCCCGAGCTCCCCCGCCTCCTCTCGGTCGAAGCCGGCCTCCATCACGCCCCACCCACTCCCCGAGGCGTCCGTCGAGTGCGCCAGAATTACTCTTAAGCTTCTAGCAATAACTTGCTAAGGAAAGCTCTACGAGTCACTGCAGAAGCCCTTCGGGAGCTCTGCCGAAGCGCTTCGCGCACTCTGGAGCCACACGTATTGGGAAACGCTAGGAAGCCACGCTCCCGGACCCGCTGCCGGTTCCGGCGCCAGCACAGAAGTAGACCATGGACGTCCAAAGCTGCCTGAGGGCAGGGGGGCCAGGCTGGAGCAGACCAGGATCTCACGGCAGACGGAGTCCCACAGGGGCCTCGGGGTCCAGTAGCAGTCCCGAATGAAGACGTCGGAGGCCCGCAGAACCGACAGCGCGGGTCGCTGGCTGAGGCCCTCGACGACGTAGTGGCCCAGGAGGCGCTCCAGAACCCTGCCAGAGATGGACCCACCTCGAGCGGCATGCCGAAGAGCTCCCCGAAGAGTCCAGGCCCGTTTGGGCCTCGCGCGGACCGTCCGTCGCAGCCCGTCGAAGGCGGTGCCCAGGATATCCGAAGATGTTGAGGCCCAGGAGATCTCGCGAAGCACGAAGCCCTTCCCCTCGAACACCCCGATGAGCTCACAAAGTCGCTGATCGACGCGGTCCCTGGACATCCCGAAGACAGTTAGGTTGTCGCAGTAGGGAAGGGCAACTGGATCGTCGGACAACGGAGGGGCAGGCCAAGCATTCGACATTATCAGGTCCTGGCCGAACCCAGCCTCACGGAGCAACTCGGCATGCAGAGCCTGGACGATGTAGAAAGACCAGGTCCAACCCATCGGCAGCACGAGCAAGCGCGGGAAGACCTCCCTGACATCTGGCAACGACAACCCCCGCACGTCCGAGGTCGCCCCCCACTTTTTACCTAACAGCTTGTTCTGATAGGTTTCTAGTGGTGTCAAAAGAGAGCAGCAGATGACTCCACAGGGGGGTCTGGGCGGGTGCCGGACAGGGTGCCGCAGAAGTCGTTTAAGCCAACAATCACACACTTCGTGCTCTTCGACCTCCCAGAACTTCATTTCCGGGCCACATTCTGAATGCCCGGAACCAACTGTAGGCCACTGCGTGCTCTTCGACTTCCCAGAACTCCATTCCCGGGCCACATTTTGAATGCCCGGAGCCAACTGTAGGCCACTTCGTGGTCTTCGACTTCCCAGAACTCCATTCCCGGGCCACATTTTGAATGCCCGGAGCCAACTGTAGGCCACTTCGTGGTCTTCGAGTTCCCAGAACTCCATTCCCGGGCCACATTTTGAATGCCCGGAGCCAACTGTAGGCCACTTCGTGCTCTTCGAGTTCCCAGAACTCCATTCCCGGGCCACATTTTGAATGCCCGGAGCCAACTGTAGGCCACTTCGTGCTCTTCGAGTTCCCAGAACTTCCATTCCTGGGCATGATTTTGAATACCCGGAGCCAACTGTAGGCCACTTCGTGTTCTTCGAGTTCCCAGAATTCCATTCCCGGGCCACATTTTGAATGCTGAGGCAGGCTGATGCTGAGGCTGAGGCAGGCTGAGGCTGAGGCAGGCTGAGGCTGAGGCCGAGGCTGAAGGCAGACTGAGGCTGAGGCTGAAGCAGGCTGAGGCTGAGGCTGAGGCAGGCTGAGGCTGAGGCTGAGGCTGAGGCTGAGGCTGAGGCAGGCTGAGGCTGAGGCAGGCTGAGGCTGAGGCTGCAGGCTGAGGCTGAGGCAGGCTGAGGCTGAGGCCGAGGCTGAAGGCAGACTGAGGCTGAGGCTGAAGCAGGCCGAGGCTGAGGCTGAGGCAGGCTGAGGCTGAGGCTGATGCAGGCTGAGGCTGATGCAGGCTGAGGCTGAGGCAGGCTGAGGCTGAGGCAGGCTGAGGCTGTGACTGCGACTGCCGTTGCCACTGCAACTGTCATCGCGAATGCGACTACGACTGCGAGAACAACAGAATTCTACAACTGGATTATCATCTGAATCTTAAGGGGAATGGTTCCAGATATGCTCCTACACATCGCTGTTAAGTTGCTTTGCCGGGATAAGTTGCGAGGCTAGCGTCCACGGCTTCGAAGCTGAAGTACTCGCTCAGCGCAGACGGCACCCCGCACTGGTAAAAACAATTATGTATATCACCCGTGGCGACGAAGACAGGCGACGCTTCGTCTGGCGCCTCGAGCCCATGCATGTTCTCGGCCGAACTCATCTCAGGCTTAGGGGGTGACGGAAAAACTGGTTGACCCTTCGGCAGTCCAGGGCGAGCCTCTGGCGGCCCTGTTTCTTTCTCACGAAGAACGGTGCAATCTTGCCCTTCGAGGCCCTGCAGAACCCCAAGATCCCACAATCATACGGGCTCGACCGCGCGTGCAAGCATCTCGTAATCCGCATTCACACCAGCCAACTCACGAAAAGAGGCGTGGTCAGTTTGTACATGATCGGGCATGCCCGAAGCGATGGTGGAGAACAGGCTGGTGAATTGCACTATGCAAAGGACTGCAGCCGCCCACGGCCTCAGTCCCGTCACGCTGCGTCGGCGCCGACAGCTCCTGCGGGTCGCACCCGAAGAGCAAGTTCAGGCCGTCGACCGCCTCCTGCGCCGCCGACTGGACGGCGTTCCAGCGCTTGAGGTGCAGCCGAGCCTTCCCCCCCGTACCGGCACCAGGGCGCTGGGCACGAGGAGCGTCAGGAAGGGGAAAGAGACCGCGGCCACACCGATCCCCTGCTGCTTCTTGCCGTCGGCGAGGCCAGACCTCAGGGCGACGCGCTCCAAAATTGCGGTCGGAGGAGACCCCCTCAGACCTCAAGCCAGCAATCATGTCGGAGTCGGGGACGGCTACTGGCGGCACCGCCCCCGCTCCCTTCTTCAATTCTTGGCGGAGGCCGAAGGGTCTGCCTTGGCCTTCGCCACCGCGACGCCTGCAGCCCTGGCCTCCCGCGCCTTCCGCTCCTCCCTCAGATTCGCTGTCTCCTTGCTGAGCTCGGTTGCGACATGAGCCCGAAGCGAAGGCGCCATCTGGGCTCCTCCCGAGCGCTCGCTGATCCCCAGGTAGTGGTCCGACCCCTCGTAGCTCGGCGCCTCGGGGTTCTCAGCCACGGCCTCCTCGTGCAAGGTGATCCGCCTCAGGAGGAGCTCGACGCCGACGAGGTTCATCGCGTTGAGCCCGTCCACCGTCGCCAGGAGCTGCACGGCCCTGTGGGGGATCGCGTGCTCGTGGGCGGTCGAGCTGTGGGTCTTGACCCCGCCCCCACGCCGCCACTTGCCGGCGCGGTCGATCAGACTGGTCGCGCCATCCCTGACCACCGAGTCGACCCACTCGGCTCCGATGGCGGGCCCCTGCAAAGGGAGAGGCAGGGGGGCCCTCCGCCTGCCGCGTGCAGGCCGTCATCGTGCGCACGGCGTCGGCCAGGGTCCGCTCCGTCGGGGACCGCGCCAGGATCCTCGGGTCGTCGCAGAGGAAGTTGCGGCGCGCCAGGGCCCAGCGAGCGATGTCGGCGCCCTCGGCCGACTGCTCGAGCGCGGCGACGCCCCCATCGATCACCGCGAGGGCGCGGGTCCCCTGCGCCGCAGCCCCTGCAGGCAGCGTGAACTCCTCGCCGATGTCGTGGCCCACGAGCGGCTCCGCGAGGACCCACGCACCGCCTGCGGGGGCGAGGCGGGGGGCCCCAGGCGCAGGGGCCACGGCGGGCATGGGCGTCGCCACCGCGGCGGCGCCTCCTGGCGCTCGAGCCGCCTCGCCCAACAGCGGGGGCCCACGGTGGGCCCGCTCCAGGTTGCACACCTGGTCTGCCTCCGCCAGCAGCTCGTTGACCTCGGCGGGCGTGGGCGCCGCGAAGGTGTAGAGCACGTTGCCAGGGGCGGGGGCCCCTCGCGGCCGCGCGTCGACCGAAGCCGAGAAGCGGATCCCCCCCAAGTCGCCGCTGTCGAGGCTCAACTGCTCCACGTAGACGTCGAAGTCGGGCGACACGACCGCGTACTCGTCGTTCTCGACGAGGGAGCCGACGAGCCTCGCGCGGTGCTCGCCAGCGCCGTAGTGCACCCACGCGGCCGACCCGCGGCCCAGCACGGCAGAGGCAGCTGCCCCCGCCATGCTCCTCAGTGGTCGTCGCCAGGAGCGAAGACCACCACTCCTCTGCCGCCCTTCTTGCCGCCCTTGGCCGCGGCCGCACGGGCGAGCGGGCCCTCCGCATCGGCGCCCCCGAGCGCGAGCGCGCTGGCTCGCCGACGCGGCCAGGGCCGCCCCAGCGCAGCCTGGGCTCGACCGAGCCCGAACCTGGCGAGCTCCCACGCAAGGAGCGTGACGAGGCCGAACGAGACCTCGACGCCCCAGTGGAAGTCGACCTTGGCCGCCTCGGGGCAGGGCGGGCAAGGGTCAGGGCACTTGACCTGAGGCGCAGGTGCCAGGCACGCCTCCAGCTCCGCGCACAGCTCCTGGGCCAGCGCGGGCGTGGGCGGCACCGCGGCCGCAGGACAGCCCCGCGCTGGCGGGGCGGGCGCCCGCGCCTCCACGGGCGGCGCCGGGGGCGGGGCACGCGGCGCGCGAGAGGCCGCACACAGCTGCCCGATCCAGGCCGAGCCGACGTGGAAGGCCAAGAGCACCACGCCCTGGGCCGCCGCGCGCATCCGGCGCCCTGGAGGCCGCGGTGGTCGGTGGCTCAGCCAAAATGACTTGAGCCAGAAAGGACTACAGAGCAGAAACACACCCTCACGACGCTCAACCCTCTGAGGAATCAACCACCAACAAACAGTTATTTGATTCCAGGAGGGGCGTCTGGCGGGGGTGTCGGAGACAGCTGATTGTTTTCCAAGCAAGAGGGTGTTGGACACTGCCAGCTCAGTCTTGAAATTCAAAATGCGTGTCGCGAAACGCCGTGCACACGCAGGTCAGGCCACAATATTCGAACTGAATTGCACTCCCATAGCAAGACCCACAACAGGGATGTGTACGGGCGGTGGCGGGGACAGGGCGGCATTGGGAACCTTCACAAACTGTCTAACAGGCGTCCTGAATCGTCCATCGGCAAGTACAGACTTGGTAATTTGATGCAGGGACTGGACCCCCAAGAGTAAACAGTCCACTGGCTATGTTTTGCCGGCAGTGACGCGGCTATGTGATGAGCTGGGGGACCCAACAGTGGTGTCTCCTGGTCTGGCATGGGTCCCCCAGCTTGTACCCTGACGCTCGCTCCTGCTGGGGAGACGCGAACGCATCTTGGCAGCGCATTTTTAGCAGGACTGCTCCGCAGCCCTGTCTTGGCATTTCGTCGGGGTGTTTGTTGCGCGCCGGTTGTCGTGTGTTTCCTGGGGTGAGCGACGCG